AATACCCTCATAAAGACGATGCTAGAGTCTTTGGTGATAGAAGTTTTGCCATGAATTACTTTTCTTAAGTAAATCACTTGAAAAATCACGATTATTTTTTGACTAAGCATGCAAAACTTGCATACTCTCAGGCTCATTTTTCCTTCCTGCTCGTCTCCCCCTCACCTACGTTCTGTGAAGAGTTTTTCAAATAGCTATTCATTACAGTATTCCATTTATACAAACCGATTGCGAACGCATTCCCGGACTCCTCACTACTGATCGCAGTGGGACTTTTACTTGGGCTGTTACTCAAACAATCAGGAGCACATATTCCTTACTCTCTAAATGCCCATGTGTTCTTCCTCTACCTCCTGCCACCCATCATTTTTGATGCAGGTAAGGATAATTGACGCTTGTTACTTGGAAGGTATAGATAACAAGGAATTTGCAGGTTACTTTATGCCGAATCGAGCCTTGTACGAGAATTGGGTCTCCGTACTTCTTTTCGCCGTAGTAGGAACCGTATGGAATTGCATAGCTATTGGTACGTTCTCAATGTTTCATGTGTCCGTCCATACTCTTCAAATCAATTGACTATTGATGCGATTTATGGAGCCGATGAAAAACGACATACGTTCCTAGCAGTAGGGGACCGGTTTTCAGCGATGTACACCACACGCTAAGACGCTTATCCTTAATTCGAATTGTTGTGCAATCGGTTTTTGTAACATAAGCGCCGGGATGAAGGTCCGAGAAGTCGGGGTTCATTTTTTCAGAAGTGTGAAATTTTATTCAAAGTTTAGCTTTTGGCTTTCACTAAGCCATTCTTCACCCATCTCACAAGAAGTAAAGAAGAAGTAAGAAGTAAAGTATTCGGTTGCTTATCGCCTTTTGAGACAAATAGAGGTGACTCGTTCAGATACCATTGTTCAAGACTAAGCGGAGTGATTCAAGAATCTTTAATTTTGACATGTGTAGAAAGATTCTCGGAATTGAGCTCAAATTTTTTCGACAATTACCCAGCAAGCTTAAAGCTTTTCTACAAATCTTTAGTCACATGCTGTCATACTTTCTCCAACTGATGTCTGAGAAGATCAAAAATGCAACTCTATGATTCAGATTTGGGATGCAGTAGTACTATGCTTTCTGCTGAAATTATTTGTCTTAAGATTGTTTTTATGACTATCTATCCAAATTTTTACTTCATTCTTGAGTGCAACATTTTTCACGAAAGTAAAGTTCAGAAAAAGTCTATTCCGTAGCAAAAAAAAGTTTGCGTCAAAGTGCAGCAAGTACAGAATGAAATCGTAAATAGATTGAAAAAAAATTAGATAAAAATGGTTGGAAAATCACCATAGAAACGATACTGTAGGAATGGAATGCGTGACACGGTTTTACACAGTTTTATTTGAAATCTAAGAAAAAATCATACACTGCGACAGTAGTTTCATATCATCTCTAAACCACTTGTCATGAACAACCGCGCCGATTTTTCAAACTTTTTATCGACAATTTTCCACGATTTTCCAGTATTTACCCA